AAAGCGGCGGGGCTCCTCAGAACCCCCCTGCAATGGGGCATCTTCAGGGGCCTCGTCTGTCCCATCGCGCCCCTATCCGCGTCGAATCCGTGCCGAATCCATGTCGGGATCGTCGGGTCCGTGTCGAATCGGTGTCGAATTCGCATCAAATCCGTCGCAAATCCACGTCGAGTCCGCATCAAGCCCGCATTGGGCACAAGAAAAGACACCCATCCTGGGGACAAACGAGGTCCCTTCAAGATGCAACGTGACCCCTGGCCTTCTGAGAAGCCCTGCGTCTTCGGAGAAGGCGCAGAAAGCTCCTCGGAAGGCCGGTGAGACAGGGCGGGCCTTCCCAAAAGGCGGCTGGGCTCTCAGAAGCCCTCTGGCCTTCTGAGAAGCCCTGAGCCTTCGGAGAAGGCGTAGGGAACATCTCAGAAGGCCGGAGGTCTTCCGAGCCGTCCGAGAAGGCCCGCCGCCTCTGCCTCCAACGCTGAGCACGCCGCCGAGTCTTAGAGGGGCTGTCATAACGCTTCTGAAGCTGGGAGGCCAGTCTCTTTCGATGAAATGAGATCACGCAGGTCTGCTACACGTGGAAATCACGATTCAGAACATCGAGGATCCTTAGAACCTGTGTCAGCGCCAACCTGTGCAATACGACTCAGGCGATGCATTGATCTATCGGTTGAGCTGAACTGGGTAGACACACATTCGGCCAACACACGTCGCGCGGATCATCGAGAACAACACCCCTGACCCGCCCTCCCACGGGTTCGGGGCACCAGCCCCGCCGGACTGGACCTGAAGTTTCCGGCTTACGCTGGGGCTCTTGCTCGGCCACTGCAGCCAGAAGGCTGATAAGCGAATACGGCTTCAGTGATTATATGAACGAGGGGGAGCACCTTTCCTGGGACATGCCAGACCCGGCGACCAAGAAGTTTCTTTGTTGGGCGTTCTCCCGAAGTGCACTGCGTTGGCCAATTCTCCAGGGCCGATACTTTTTGACCTCTGTCAGTCCTGATTGTGGCGCAAGTCCCCCTCACCCAAGAATGCAGATGAGGAAAACATGGAGTGGGGCGAATCACATTTCATATTCACATCCTGGCATCCGATCGCAGCGAGGCGTCCGCGTGGCATTATGTGGCCTTCGTTCTCTATTTGGTTTGATCGCGCTCCCGCTCAATCCGCCAATTGGTGCAAGGGCTCACAACTACCTGTGTTCTAAGCATGTTTCGCCAGCCCTCTCCGAACGTAGCCTGGGTGCAGATAGTCCACAAGACGTCCAAATGCCTGCTGCCCAAGGCCATCAATATTGCCCACGGTAACCTTGAGAACCGTGAGAACCTTGAAAACCCACAGAAACATGAAGATTAAAACAGGGCTGGGATCGGGATAAATCGCTCCAGAGCGTTCCGGAACGCTCTCAGAGCGTTCCGGAACGCTCCGGAGCGGCCGCGGCGCCCAATACATCCTCCAAACCCGCCGATTCTCAGAGATTTCGAGTTATCCCGATCCGATTTTGTCCCGACCTTCGCGTCGTTTTATGAAAACCCACAGAAACATGAAGATGTGGCCCTCCGCGCGGACTTCCTGGATCCGCGCCGGGCCCCGCTTCCTGAGGCAAGGAGCGCGCCGGGGGCGGCGCCAGGGGCGCCGCAATGGGGGCCCCGGCGCGGCTCCCAGAACTCCGCACGGAGCGCCAAAAGTTTACGGAGTTTTCCCTTCGTCGAATTTCTCGACCCCCCCCCAGGTGGCATCGTCTGCGCCTACGAATGGGAGGCCTGGAAATGGGCACCAACACCAAGACAGAGGGCTGCCTCCACAGGGGGGAGGTGGTCCTAGATTTCGGTGTTGGTGGTAATATTTCGGCCACCTTGGAAGCCAGGAGATTACCACCATCACCGAGATCGGGATCTTCTTCCCTCGGTGGAGGAACACCGCCGATCTTGGTGTTGGTGTCAACCTCTAGGCCTGCGATTCTTCGAATTTATCGACCCCCCCCCAGGTGGCATCGTTTGCGCCTACGAATGACGAGCTCCGGGGACGGACCACGGAAAGAGATCGCTAGCACACAAAACCATTCACGTTCATGCCTGAGGGGGGGAGGGACAGCAGCAAGTTCTTAGGAATCGTCGGGGGTCTTTCGCGCACTCCGCAGGAATCCTCGGAAATCCTCGGGGAATCATGTTGGACTCCTCCAGGGACTTCCCAGAAAACCTCGGGAGAATGAAGAAGTACAGAGGAAACTTAGGGAACATCTAAAGGAAGTCTTCAAACAACCCTCAGGAATCCTCCACGAATCGGCAGCAAGCCTGCCCGAATCCTCTAGAATCCTTCCGGGACGCCACAGGAATCCGCAGGAAAATCCGTAGGAGTCTGAAGGGAATCCTTAAGGATTCAAGTACACCCGACGGATCTTTCAGGAACCCCATGGAACCTCAAGAATTTTGGAAGAATCTTCAAACATCCTTTAGCAACCGACAGGCGCCCGCATGAATCGCCAGGAATCTTCCAGGATTCCTCCAGGAATTCGGTCGTGAGCGCCTGACAATCACGATTCACTCATGGGGGAAGCAGATAATTCTCAGGAGCGTCTTGGAACTTCGAACACCCCAAAACAAATCGTCACGAATCCTTCCAAAAAAGAAGGCCCTTCAAACATCCTTGGGAAACGGGCAGGAATCCTCAGGAACCCTTGCAATCTCCAGGAGTCTGAGAGAGGAACCTGCGGGGACCCTGAAGGATCCTCACGAATCCTCCGGAGATCGCCATACATCATGTATATATAATGTTCGGGAATCCACCAGCGATCAGATCTCAGGAATCCTTCACGCATCCTGCAGGGCCGAAATTCTTCAGAAACCAGCAGGGATCACAAGGGGCCTTTCTGGGATCATTCTTTTCCCTTCAATATGCAATTAACAAGAGCCCGAAGGAGGAATCCTTAGACATCCAAGGAAAGACCCCGTGAATCCTCCAAGAACCCGCAGACATTCTTAAAACATCTTCAGCAATCCATCATGCATCCGCTTGGAATCTCCACGAATCCTTCAGGCACCATCAGAAATCCTCATGAGACCACAAGAAACCGAAGTACCTCTCAAGAGTATCTCAGGAATCCTGCAGTGATCTCCAAAGAAGACTTCGGGGATCTGGAGGCACCCGCAAGAATCCTCCTGGGATCACTATAGAATCCTCACCGCAAAATGGCCGCGCAGATCACGTGCTCAAGATCCCGTCTCCTTTCATCCCTGGACTAACAAAGGTATGTCCCCTCTCTGGACCACCTAGCTCCCCAGCGAACTGTGGACGGAGGACGAGGAGAAGGGGCGAAGAGGAGGAGCAGCGTGAGAAAAAGGAAGAGGAGGAGGAGGAGGAGGAGGAGGAGGTAGCGGGCGTTTTTGCAGTGCGAGCGGAGGATCGCACCGCATCGCCGATGTATCGGCGACGCACCGGCGACATCGACGTGGAGAAAATCGGGCTACGCATCGACCCGCATTGCCGATGCATCGGCGATGCGGCGCGACCCTCCGGCACCATGTGATTCCGACCCCATCCAGGAGGCCTACAGAGCTGCACCCGAGGCCTGGCGAGGGCCCCTGGAAGCCGAACTTTGCGAAAACCCTCCGTCGTGATTTTTCAATACTTTGGATCTCTGGGAGCGGATGGTGGGCGGCTCTCGGGGACCTGCTGACCCGGGTCACTCCAGACCCGGGACAATCAGATAATCAGGCCTTGCAGGATCCTGCAGGATCCTGCACCCGAGCGCGGGTCAACGCGACCCTGCCCTGCAGCATCCTGCAGCACCCTGCGGCATCCTGCGCCCGAGCCCGGGGCAACGTCCCTGGCCTCTGCAGGATCCTGCAAGATCTGGCGCCCTGGCTGACCCCCGCTTGCATCGACCACCGTCTCCTGAGCCCCAAAGGGCTCCTGCTCAGAGTGGGGCCCGGGCGCCGGGCAGGCCCACGCTCCTCTTTCGCGCCGTCGCCAGCGGCCTCGCCGCCGGGAGGCCGGCCCCGCCTCCAAGTCGGGCGCTCGCTCGAGGCCCTGCTCCTCTCCTCGAAACGAACAAGAACTGGGGTTGGAGTCTTCCCTCTGTCATCGTCCTCCTTCGCATGTCCTCATTCTTCAACTCCTCCCCCCTTCCCCAAGGGGGCGGATGAGAACGGGGGTGTGGCCACCCCCGCACACGTCGTATCCCTTGCCTCTGTCCAGCCCACGCGCTTGAAGGCATGACCTGAAGGGACACAAAAGCGGCACTGGACGTACACCGCGCACGTTGCCGTACGCCACGTTGCACATGGCGCGCATCCACCTGCGCACCCTTGCACGGAGCGCGAGCCGTCACGCGCCGCGCGCAGATGGCAGCCTTCCAGGGAGAGAGAGCGCACAGCACAGCAGGACACGGGGCGAAGAGGAACTGCAGGCCAAACGCGCTCGGAGAAAAACTGGCTCACGCCTCTGGGGGAGGAGATGGGGGAGGAGGGAGGAGGAGGGAGGAGGGAGGAGGGAGGAGGAGGGAGGAGGAGGGAGGAGGGAGGAGCGTCGGGAGGGCACAAATGCAACGCCCGCGCCCTGCACAACTGCGAGCGCGCGAGACCGCACGCACAGGCAACCGTGCGCGCGAGCGAGCCCGCTTCCCCAACCGAGCCGCTCGCTCGCGCACGCCAGGACGCCTGCCTGCTCCCCTCCCGTCCCCCCCCCCGCTCCAACACCTCCTCCTCCACCTCCTCCTCTTCCACCTCCTCCTCCACATCCACCACCTCCTCCACCTCCTCCACCTCCCCTTCAGCCTCCACCGCCTCCTCCACCTCCTCCTCGGCCTCCAACCCCTCCTTCACCTCCTCCACCTCCTCAGTCTCAACGCTCTGCTCCACTTCCACCTCCTCCTCCCACTCCCACTGACCCCCCCCCTCCTCCTGCACCTCCTGGAGCGCTCCATTTTCCGGCACGCGACTGTCTGAGCACAAGCATGCCGGCAACTCCAAGGGCGGCGCGCCCCCTTGTCATTCTGGGGGCAGCCGAGACCAGTGAAACTGTGAGACTACAATCGTCAACGCAAGAGGCCCAAGAGTCGGTGTCGCGCCTCGCGCTGCGCGGCAACCGCGGTCATCTCCGCGCCCTCGTGGCGGCCTTCCCTTTCGACGACCAGCTTGTCCGTTGAAGACCGCAAAGAGAACGAATCAAGGTTCTGCTCGCCCTCGTGCGTCACAGGGCGACCTCGGAGATGATGGTTGCAAGCTGGCGCTCGCCGAGCCGCGCGACTGTTAACTGTGAGCTTGCCAGGGACCGGCTCGACCTGTTCGAACGTGGAACCTCGACGATTGAAAAGCCGAGCCCCGCCCCTCAACAAGAATTGGCACACGGAGGCGGCGGCGGGGGGGTAGAACGAGGATCAGCTGCGTGGAGACGAGGAGGACAGTGGAGGACAGGGGGTCGGATCTGAGTATCCCCACCATACTCTGGTGCCGTTTTCGCTGCCGTGTTTCGATACCTGGGCCCGCGGGACTGGTTCATCGCCCCGCGACATGTACGCGCCCGCAGAGCCCGAAGCCGGAACGCGCAGGCCAAACCGTTGAAAGCCTATCGTCGCGACGTGTCCCGTGGCGCCGCAGGTCTGGGCCCGACCCTGCCGATGTTGGCTGCCCCGCCTTGCGTCCCGCGCTGCGCGCAGTGCCGCGCCGCAGGCGGAGGGCGGGCCGCCCAACCTCCAGGGCCGACGGAGGTGCGTCCCCCACTTGGCACCCCCCTGCCATGATCGCCATCCTCTTTTTGCCAGCCTCGAACGTGTCCCTATCCCTCAGATTGACACGCCAGAAGGCGATGCCAATCTTAGGGATGTGGCCTCAAAAAAGGAGGGAATCCCTGAGATTGGCATCGTGATGAGGAGATGCCCAGCACAGGGATAGGGATACGTTCCAGGCTGGTAATCTTTCCCCATGCTCACCACTTGGTCGTCAACCCCCATTGTGTTCGGCCACCTGTCGCCGTCGGCACGGGTTCGCATATCCCCGCGGGATCGGAGCCCCCGCCCACCATACGTGGTCGGGTGGGGGATGTGTAGAGCAAACCGCAAGCCAAAGGGGGTTCCCCTGGAGGCGACGGAGAGCGGACGACGCGAAGAGGAAGAAAGAACGCAACAAAGAGGGGCGCTGGTAAGAGGGGCGGGCGGCGCCATCCCTGAAGCCCCCCCCCCTCCCAAAGTGTTCCCCACCCCTGGAGGGGCAAGGGAGGAGGGAGCAGGCACAGAAGGGGGAGCGGGCAGAGAGGAGGGGCTCCTGAGGCACACCCTCTGCAATGGGGAGGAGGAGGAGGAGGAGGAGGAAGGTCTCTTCCTCCGGAGAGGGATCAGGAGGAGGAGGAGGAATGGGAGAGGAGGAGGAGGAGAGGAGGAAGGCCTCTAGACGACCCGCGTCGAGCTAAAACCACGAGCTCCCCCAGCGCCTCCTGCGCCACGAAAAAGCCCCCACAGGCCCGTCCCCAGTCTGCACGGCTGGCCGCGCGCAGTCTGGCCTGTCGGTCGGGATGCCGGGCCGGCACCGTCTGGGCGGGCGCCGCGGGTGCGCGGCGGAGCGGGCAGCGGGCGGCAAAGGGGGCCGAAGGCGGGCCGCCCGCGGTGGGCCCACTCCCTGGCTTCTGCGGGAGACTAGGGGGCCACACGCGAACCCTGCCCCTGCCCCCCACGATTTCTGAGGGGGAGGGGGAGGTAGGGTTCGCATGTGGCCCCCTAGAGACGCCCCCGTCTTCGTGGCTGCCATTGTTGGAAGCGGGGGGGGGGGAGGCCGCCTGATCGGCGGCACGGACAGCGGCAGGCTCGAGCGAGGACCGCGATTGGCCTCTGAGGTTGACTGCGAGACCCGGTGCAAAGATATGGGTCTGGGGTTTAGGGTTTAGGACGACATGCTTGCGCGCGGCTGCCGCGCGGACCTCTGCCCGGACACTAGCCTGAGACTACGAGTGTGAAGAGGCCCTGGGACACACAAATAAATACACACAACTAACCAGATTCCTCATATGTTCCCATGTGTTCTGGGATTCTGTCTTCCCCCCCACTTCCCCTATTTTCCCATATTTCTGGGGAGCCGTCGATTAATTGTGTCTGTGTGTTTTTTTCCAGCCTGAGCATCCCCCCTTCCGCCGAGCAGCCTCGTGGGTAAGGGGGCAGGGCGGGGGATGGCGGGGGGCCGACAGGCGCGCCCCCCCCCGCGGGAGAGAGGCCCCACTGCCGCGGCCCCCCCCCCCCGCCCCCGCCCATATGCGGTCTGCTGTGAGCTTCTCTTTCTGGGCCTCGTGACCGAGCAGGTTGCCCAACGCGGCGTGGGATACACCCTGCGAAATGCTTAAGGAATCATCGGTTAAGAATTTCATAGTCTCAGAATTTGAATAAAAACCCAGAATTTCTATTTAAATCTTGGGATTTACATTGAAACGTTAAGAATAATCGAGACTCTGGCCGAAAACTTAGGTTTTCTTAAGCATCGCCTTAGGTGTATGCGTTGGGTGGGGGGTCAGGTCAGCAGAACACCCCAAACGGACGTCAAGGGGCGCAACCAACCTGTTCGGGCAAGCTGAAAGTGATGAACCACACCCGACGTCAAACCAACCCTCTGAACATGAGCGAACGGTTGGACCTTGCACATATTCGCCAGCTTAACCGGAGAGGCATTTGACCACCTTGACGTCCCTCTTGGAGGTCCTGCAGAGGAAGGCGCTGTCGGACACTCGGCCCTACTCAAGATATGCGATGGTCTCCTGGGGCAAATCCATTGGCGATGCTCGCGCGAAAAGACAGGAGCACCTTGAGCGATGGCTGTCGAATGAATGCAGAGAAGCGGACGGCCTCGGCAACGGCCCCTGCTTTGGCGGTCACCTCCCACTTGTGGGAGACCTGCTCACACGGTCTTCTGATGTCGATGCCTTGCAGCCGCGGCGTGCTGACGAGCGAGACAGCGGGCATGCCTGCTGCCCGGTGCTGTGCAGCCCCTGTACGGTACGACCCCGCAATCATTAGGGATCGCTGCGCCCACCTCGGCGCAGAACGACTTCGCAATCAACAGGGTTCGCAGTGCCAAATGTTGTCTCTAGACATGCGCTGATTTGGTTTTTCTTGGCCCCCCTCGGCAGGGTCCGCAGAACGGTGCATGATGGGGATGTTAGGCGCAGAGTTCCATACATTGGCGACGTGGAGGCGGTCGACTGCCTCGTGCGCGGGCTCGGCGAACGAGTGTTGCACAGCGACCTGGCCGCTACAGGTTCGATCGCGTCCATACGGCCGAACGCAGATAATGCTTCGTTGCCCGACATGTCAGAAGCCCGTGCTTGTTGTGTTGGGCGATAATCAACTGAAGCAGCTGGCTGGCCACTCCCCCTGCACCAGACGTCTTTGCAGTCACCAGGGAGCTGCGCCATAGGGGATGCGCGCGCCCCCCTGCACAGGACGAAGTCGCAGTCACCGTGGGATGGTCTGGGGGATGCGGTGCCAGTGACAACATACGCGTTGCCTCGGGCAGCTGCGCACCTCATGGCTCCGGGGCGGCTTGACACACTCGGGAGGGTGGCAATGGGGGGTGATCCGAAGGGGGGGGCGAAGGGGTTCCATGAGAGCTCCCACTGGCTCCAAACGGGGCCCACAGGGACCTTTCAGGGCCCTTGTCTTAGGTCGGCCCTTGTCTTGGTCTTAGGTTAGGCGGAGTTTGGACAAGAAGTACGACATATTGAAACATATTCCCAAATAATCAAAAACAATCCCAACAAATCGCCCCTGAAGCAAGTTTTCCCAACCATCCCGTGGTGTTGGGTCCTCGTTTCCAACCATCCTGTGGTGTTGGGTCTTCGTTTTGAAAAGACAGAGCCCCGCGTCTCCTTCCTTCCTCCTCCTCCTCCTCCTCCTCCCTCCTCCTCCTCCTCCTCCTCCTCCTCCTCCTCCTCCTCCTCCCCCCTCCCTCCTCCATCACCATCACCATCACCATTACCATCACCATCACCATCATCATCACGTCATCACATCATCATCACCATCATCACCATCATCATCACCATCATCACCATCATCACCCATCATCACCATCACCATCACCATCACCATCACCATCACCATCACCAGCAGCACCAGCACCAGCACCATCACCATCACCATCACCATCACCATCACACCATCATCATCATCATCATCATCATCATCATCATCATCATCATCATCATCATCATCATCATCATCATCATCATCATAAGAATCATCATCATCATCATCATCATCATCAGCATCATCACCCGTATCAGCACACCCCTCACACGTTTCGTGGCCCCATAGGGAGCTCCACCGAAGGCCCCAATGGGACCGCCCGCATGCGTCACGCACAACCCAGTACAGCGTCTCGTGTCCCCATAGGAAACTCCACCAAAGGTCCCAGTGGCACCGCCCGCATGCATCACGCACCACCCAGTACAGCGCTTCGTGGCCCCATAGGGAAGTCCACCGAAAACCCCAATGTGACCGCCCGCATGCGTCACGCACCACTCAGTACAGCGTTTCGTGGCCCCATAGGGAGCTCCACTAACGGCCCCAGTGGGACCGCCCGCGTGCGTCACGCACCACCCAGTACAGCGCTTCGTGGCCCCATAGGGAAGTCCACCGAAAACCCCAATGGGACCGCCCGCAAGCGTCACGCACCACTCAGTACAGCGTTTCGTGTCCCCATAAGGAACTCCACCAAAGGTCCTACTGGGACCGCCCGCATGCGCCACCCCGTACAGCGCTTCGTGGCCCCATGGCCCCACCGACGGCCCCAGTGCCACCGCCCGCATGCGCCAGGCACCACCCAATACAGCGTTTCGTGGCCCCATAGGGAGCTCCACTGACGGCCCCAAAACCACCGCCCGCATGCGTCACGCAACACCCAATACAGCATCTCGTGGCCCTATTGGGAACTCCAGCAAAGGTCCCGGTGGGACCGCCCGCATGCGCCAGGCACCACCCAATACAGCGCTTCGTGGCCCCATAGGGAGTTCCACGGACGGCCCCAGTGGCACCGCCCGCATGCGCCACGCACCACCCAAATCAGCGTTTCGTGGCCCCATAGGGAGCCCCACCTGGTGCCCCAGTGGCACCGCCCGCATGCGTCCCGCACACCCAGTGCAGCCCTTCGTGGCCCCAGAGGAAGCCCCACCGAAAGTCACAGTGGGACCGTCCGCGTGCGTCAGCGTCTCGTGTCCCCATAGGACACTCCACCAAAGGTCCCAGTGGCACCGCCCGCATGCGTCACGCACCACCCAGTACAGCGCTTCGTGGCCCCATAGGGAGCCCAACCGAAGGTCCCAATGGGAGCGCCCGCGCGCGCCCCGCACACTCAGTGCAGCGCTGCGTGGCCCCATAGAGAGCTCCACCGAAGGTGCCAGTGGGACCGCCCGCATGCGTCCCGCACACCCAGTTCCCTCCGACTCGTGGCCCCATAGAGAGCTCCACAAAAAGGCCCCAGAGGCAAAGTCCACATGCGTTTCCCCCACCCAGCACAACGTTTCGTGGCCCATAGGGAACCCACCGAAGGCCCCAGTGGCAAAGTCCGCATGCGTCCCCCCACCCAACACAACGTTTCGTGGCCCATGGGGAGCTCCACCGAAGGCCCGAGTGGCGAAGTCCTCGTGCGTCCCGCCCCACCCAGCACAACGTTTGGTTGTCCCTGGGGAGCTCCACCGAAGGCCTGAGTGGCAAAGTCCTCGTGCGTCCCGCCCCACCCAACACAACGTTTCGTGGCCCATGGGGAGCTCCACCGAAGGCCCGAGTGGCAAAGTCCGCGTGCGTCCCGCCCCACCCAGCACAACGTTTGGCGGTCCCTGGGGAGCTCTACCGAAGGCCCCAGTGGCAAAGTCCGCATGCGTCTCCCCAACCCAGTGCAGCGCTTCGTGGCTCATAGGGAGCTCCGTCGGAGACCTCAGTGGCAACCTTCGTATGCGTCTCCCCCTCCCATTGCAACGCTTCGTGGCCCATAGAAGGCTCCATTGAATACAAAAAGACACTAGTGTGGTACTCACATGTACATATGGTTGGGTCCGTCGCCAGGCTAATTTTGAAAAGACAGCGCACCCTGTCTCCCTCACTCCTCCTCCTCCCCCTGCTCCCTCCTCCATCACCATCATCATCATCACCCGTTTGAGCACACCCCTCACACGTTTCGTGGCCCCATAGGAAGCTCCACCGAAGGCCCCAATGGGACCGCCCGCGTGCGTCACGCACCACCCAGTACAGCGTCTCATGTCCCCGTAAGGAACTCCACCAAAGGTCCCAGTGGGACCGCCCGCATGCGTCACGCACCACCCAATACAGCGTTTCGTGGCCCCATATGGAGCTCCACCGAAAGCCCCAATGGGACCGCTCGCATGCGTCACGCATCATCCGGTACAGAGCTTCGTGGCCCCATAGGGAGCTCCACCGAAGGTCCCAGTGGGGCCGCCCGCATGCGTCACGCACCACCCAGTACAGCGTTTCGTAGTCCCATAGGGAGCTCCACCCGAAGCCCCAGTGGCACCGCCCGCATGCGTCACGCACCGCCCAGTGCAGCGTTTCGTGCTCCCATAGGGGGGTGCCACCGAAGGCCCTTGTGGAACGGCCCGCATGCGTCACGCACCACCCAATACAGCGCTTCGTGGCCCCACGAAAAGCTCCACCGGCGGCCCCATTGCTACCGCCGCATGCGTCACGCACCACCCAGTACAGCGCTTCGTGGCCCCATAGGGAGCTCCACCGCAGGCCCCAGTGCCGCCGCCCGCAGGCGTCACGCACCAACCAATACAGCGTTTCGTGGCTCGCAGGGAACTCCACCGAAGGTCCCAGGTGGAACCGCTCGCATGCGTCACGCACCACCCAGTACAGCGTTCAGTGACCCATAGGGAGCTCCACCGACGCCCCCACTGGGACCGCCCGCATGCGACACGCACCACCCAGTACAGCGCTCCGTGGCCCCATAGGGAGGCCTATCGGCGGCCCCAGTGGGACCGCCCGCATGCGCCACGCCCCACCCAGTACAGCGCTTCGTGGCCCCATGAGGAACTCCACCGACGGCCCCAGTGGGACCGCCGGCAAGCGTCCCGCACACCCAGTACAGCACTTCGTGGCCCTATATGGAGCCCCACCGGTTCGTGGCCCCATAGAGAGCTTCACAGAAGGCCCTTGTGGCAATCCGCATGCGTCTCCCCCACCCAGCACAACGTTTCGTGGCCCATGGGGAGCTCCACCGAAGGCCCCAGTGGCAAAGTCCGCATGCGTCCCCCCCACCCAGCACAACGTTTCGTAGCCAGCTCCACCAAGGGCCCCAGTGGCAAACAACGCATGCGTCTCCCCCACCCATTGCAGCGTTTCGTGGGCCCACAGGGAGCTCCACCGAATACGATACCCATACTTGCGGTACTCACAGCAACAGATGGTTGGGTCCTTCGCCAGGCGAATGTTTGACTACTTTTGACTACCCCTCCTGCAGAAGGTCAGGCGTGACTCTAGAGGAACAAAAAATGACATAAACATACAAACTCGGAGGTCCGCGCGGATTTCTCGGATCCGCGCTGGACCCCCAGCGCGGATCCGAGAAATCCGCGCGGACCTCCGAGTTTTTATGTTTATGTCACTTTTTGTTCCCTTACAGAAGAACAGGCCTGGCTCAACCCTCGTCTTCACCTTCCACTACCACCCGCCGACCCACACTGGGAGCGGCCAAGAAGGGGGTGTCCAAAAGGAGGGGTTGCAAATCATGACCGGCGGCATGTGCGCGGCCCAGCGGGGGGGCCAGGGACGTAATGAAATAAGAAGAGGCGCCATGAAATCTGGGGAAATATCATGGCCCCCGCCACCATGATATCCCCCCCCTAGTCATCCACCAAACTGCAGCGCAGGGCTTCGCAAACCCGGGTCAGCCAATAAGCGCGGCCGCCCCGCGGCCACGAGCGGCTCGCTAACCTGGGTCAGCCAGAGGGGGTCTTCGCAGGATCCTGCAGGATCCGGTGCACTGGCTGACCCCCGTTTGCGTTGACCCCCGTCTCAAGGCTCCTGACTCCCAATCGCCCTTGATCGATGCTCGGGGCCCGATAGCCCCAACCTGCCCCGGAAGGTGCGGCCTCACTATCAGAGGCCAATCGCCGATCTATCGGCGATGTATCGCCGATTCCAGGTCGATGCATCCCCCCCTATGCCTATCCTTATGTCGGGCGTGTCCCCCTACATGGGGATTTTCGACGAACAATGAAAAAATACCAGAGAAATACACCGAAAAGGTAAAACAATACTCCAAAAATGGTCCCCAGACTATTTTTGGACTATTATTTGATTATTTTTGGGGTACTTTATTATTTTTCGTCGAAAATCCCCCCGTAGGGGGACAGGCCCGACATAAGCCTATCCCCCCCTATCGTTGCCGCCGACCCAATCGTTTCGGGCGTTGGTAGTACTGGGTGTAGTGGAACCTGGTTTAGTGATCTGTACCGGGGGCGCCCCCCGGTCCCATTTCCACTAACCGGAACTGCCGTCACCCGAAAAAACACCAGCTGTGGCAAGCCTGGTTTAGTGATTCTGGCCGATTCACAGGCTCTGGGGCCCTACCACTAACCGGGTCCCCTTACCCGGGGCCTGGCCATACCCGATCGTTGCCGCCGACCCACACCAGGGGGGTGCCTCACCGGTGCGGCCCCCGCGCCGTCTCGTGCCGCGCCTCTCGCCGCACACCCGGCGGCGGCCCCCCCCCCCCCCCTCACCATCAGAGGCCCATCGCCGATCTATCGGCGACGTATCGCCGATTCCAGGTCGAGGCATCCCCCCCTATGCCTATCCCCCCCTATCGTTGCCGCCGGCCCACACCAAGGGGGGGGTGCCCTCGCCGGGGCGGCCCCCGCGCCGTCTCGTGCCGCGCCTCTCGCCGCACACCCGGCGGCGGCCCCCCCCCCCCCCTCGGGCGGCCGCCTCCCCCCCCGGGGGCGGTTTGGTCTCCCGGCCTGCCTGGGCGAGGCCCGCAGCTGGGCTCCAGTCGGGCGCGTCCCCCTACAGGGGGATGGTCGACGAAAAATGCACACAGCCCCAAAAATAATCCAAAAATGATCCAAAAGTGTTCAAAAAATTATCTCTGGACTATGGTTGGACTATTTGGGGGGTATTTTTTGTTTTTCGTCGAAAATCCCCCTGTAGGGGGACAGGCCCGCCTTGACTCTTTGACGTGCCGCTCCGGGGGCGCAGCACTTCGGGCATTCACGCACGGGCGGTTCCGGAAGTCGGGTGCCCCATGACGTAGGGGCGGCGGAGTCTGGCTGGCGCCGGCCAGGAGGGCGCGGCCGATGGTGCAAGAGCGCTCTGCAGTTGATGCCCAGGTCGCGGCGAGCCTTCGTCCATCCAATGCCTGACGGTGCCGATGTCGGAGGCGGCGGCCCCGGCGTTGGCGGGGCTCAGCTGGCGCCCCCGCTCCTCACAGAACTGCTGCGGGCACTTCTGGTCACCGTCGGTGCGACGTGAATTCTTCTGCGCCGCTGCGGCGTCTGCTGCGCGCCGGTCGCTGGGTCGCCAAGAGGCCCCTGGGCTGCCACTCGTTCAGGTGATTGAAGGGGCACACACAAATGAATATACACAAAATTAAGAGGATTCCCCATGTTTCCTACTATTTTCTGGGTTTTTTTCCCTCCCCCCCACGTCCCATATTTTCCCATACTTTCTGGGGCACCGACGATTCACTGTGCCTGTGTTTTTTTTTTTCCCTCCTGAGTGATGGGCGGCGTGGCGGGCGCCGTGCCAAGCCTGGGCGCCGCCTCGGCCCTGGCCCGCATCCGTGTCCACGGGAGGGAAAGAGAAGGCCCAAGCTTATCCCGCCCAGGGCCTCTGCAAGCTCCAACCTCCTCCTCCTCTTCTCCTTCTTCGTCCTCCTCCTCCTCCTCCTCCTCCTCCTCCTCCTCCTCCTCCTCCTCCCATTCCCCTTGCTCCCAGGGCTCCTCCGCCCTTCCGCGCGTCCCCCCTCCTCCTGATCTTGCTCCCGATCCTGCTCTCCCCTTTCCTCTTTCCCACATGCGACACTCCTTCTCCTCCTCTTCTTTCCTCCCGTCGGCCCCCCCTCTTCTTTCCTCCCGTCGGCCCCCCCCCCCCCCACACCCCTTCCCCCCAACACCAGTCCCTCTCCCTGAAACCTCTCCCCGTGTTCCCCCTCTTCTCCATCCTCCGTCCTCCGTCCCTGAATGCCCGCCCCATCCCCTCTTCCAAAGAAACATCAATCGGGGATGGACAGACCTCCCTTTAGTAAAACGTGGTCTAGTGAAAACGACCTGAGACCCAAACCTGGCGGGCGCAGGCCTGGAAAATAGCGGCCGCGGCGCCCTCTCGAGAACCGAGAACGGACAACTCACTAATCGACGCGTCGCTATTTGGGGGTTCTGTCCGACCCCGAGGGCGCGGAGCTCGGCGACGAGTGCGAAGGCCTCGGCTCTGCCCCGCTCGACCCTGCCCTCTCCCCCCATGGCCAGCGCGACGCGCGGGCCGCCGAAGGGCGGCAGAGCGCGAGGAGGGGCGCCTCGGCACCCTCCCGATTGCGCTCGGGGGGGGGAAGTGCTCGTGCTCGTGCTCGTGCTCGTGCTCGTGCTCGCGATGAGGGGCTGCTCGTGCTGGTGCTGCCCCCCGATTGCGCTCGGGGGGGGAAGTGGGGTGCGATGCGATGCGACCACCGTTGCGGACAGCGTCCAGGCCTGGAGCAGACCGGGTGGGTGAGGCCATGGCCTCTGGGATCTGAGGCGTCTGGATTCATGCAGTGCGAGACGTGCAAAAAGTTCGGAGGAGAGGGGGGGAATGGGAGGGGAGGAGGAAGCCTCCCCGGTACCGTCGTTCTCCCCTTGGGGCGCTGCGTCGGCGCAGCTCTCTTGACCCCCAGCACTCGACGCCGCCGACCCTATGCGATTGCACTGGGCGAGCGCGCCCGGGCACCAATGAGAGACCACCGCCACGACCACCGACCCAATCCCCCCTCCCCCTCCCCCTCCTCCATCGCTGCTCATCCTCTCTCATGATGCTTCCTCCCCCTCGTCGTCCTCCTGCCGCTCTTTCCTTTCCTCCTCTACCTACTCATCTTCTCTCTGTTCACCTCTCATCTCTCATATCAGTCAGCTCCTCCTCCCTCCTCCTGTCCCTCTCCCCCTCGTCGTCCTCCTCCCCCGCCGCGTCCTTATTCGCCTCCCTCCCACTCAAGAGCTGCAATGACTCGAGAACTCTCGCGCTCAGCGCGAAAGGCGGGCCGCGCGCGGGGCTAGCCAGGCACCCGCGCACATGCGTCCAAGGGCTGCACCGCGATGTTTAACATCACCGGCAGCTGCCACGATACAGCTGCGAGTTGGCAAGACCGACCAGAGGGAGTCAGCGGGTTGGCAAAACTGGCTCCAGACAATCCTGGAGCCCCCGACCGTGAAACTAGAAAAGAACCGGCCGAGCGAGCACAGGGCACGCTCTGCGCGAGCGCTGTCACGCACGGCAGCTGCGCCATATCCTGTCGGCGCCCACCACATCGGAAACATTATGTTCAAAACAGGTGCTTACGCGGTTGTGTTGGGACCCAGCTGCTACCGTCCGCCAGCCTCAAGTACTTAATTAGCTTCGGCCGTCGCGAACGTCGACCTTGACCCCATCCACGGAGACCTGGACGCCAGGATACAGGCACGAGGCCAGCTCGGCGGCCACGTGGCTGCCCTGGAGCACCGCCACCTAATTGGCGCTCAAGATGGTGAAGCGCTGCATTTTCTTGAATGGCAGCTCTGGCACTCCAACCCCCTCAGAGCCGTCCACCGTGGAGGGGGGGGGCACCCCGATGGCAGGAAACAACAGCGCCTCGCCCGTCGCAGCCTGGCACAGGGCTGCGGCAAAACAGAAGCACCGCTTCTGAAGCACACGCCAACATCGCGGCAAGTAGCCAATTGCAAACATACCTACAACGTCACAGCCGAGGGCTCGCAACCACACATAACAATTCCGCTAAGGACGCTTCCGAGAACCCGCCAGGCAACACTCGGCGCGCATGCCAAGCAACACTCCGCCTGAGGCGAATCGCACCATGAAAAAGGTCCCCCGCTGCCATCTCCTGGAATGCTGGCCTTGACGCACGCTCGCGGTCCACCTAGAAGCCCGGGACGCCGCGCGTTGCCGCCAGGAGCTGCAGCGCTGCCTCCAAGACAGCACGACCGCGTCGCCGAGCAGCACGCATCGTCGCAGAGTCGCCAAGGGAGACTCCTCGGGCCCCCTCAACTCACTGGGCCGCCACACAGGCGGGCAACATCCCATAGTCATCCTCCAGCGGCACCCTCCAGCGCGACCTGCAGCGCATGCCAAGTCTCGGCGGCGAGCAACTTGGGGAAATGAGAGGCAGAAGGCCTTCTTAGAAGGCGGCGGGGCTTTTCAGAGGGCATCTGGCCTTCTGAGGTTGCCAATTGTCTTCGTGGAGTGCTCAGAGAACTTCTCAAACGGCCGGGGAGGGTCCGAGCCTTCTGAGAAAGCCTCGCTCGCCACCGCAAGCCAGCTCAAGCCAGGGGTTCGTCCGCAGGACGACGGCTCGAGCCAAACTGACTACGGTTAAGTCGGGCCTGTCCCCCTACAGGGGGAGTTTCGACGAAAAATAAAACATACCCCAAAAATAATCAAAAAATGCTAAAAAAATAGTCTGGGGACTATTTTTGTATGGTTTGACCATTTGGGGGTATTGTTGGGTTTTTTTTTTTTCTTTGAGCACGGCTACCAGAGCACGCTCGACGTCGCGCCCAGTGGCGGCAGACCTTCGCGCCATTCGGCCTCCGGGTCCGCGGAAGGGTGCGAACGTGAAGGGCAGCTCGAGCCTCGTCTTTTCCCCGCTGGTGGTGCCAACGTCTCCTTCCCTGTGGTGCCCGTGACCCAGCCTTCTGCAGGTTTCGCGCGAGGACGGCGGCGAACTGGCCGAGACGAAGAGGAGCAACAACAACCATCGTCGCAAGACGTGCCAGAAAAGAAGACCCTCCCGGACAAGACGCTCCCGCATGTGAAGTCAGCAGCGACTCCGACGCCGAACAAGGATTGCCGCTCCAACATCGGAATGCTTACCAATATCGGCACGAAGACCCTCCTAGACAAGACCCTTCCAGACAAGATGCTCCCGCAGGTGAAGCCAGCAATGACTCCGACGCCGAATCAGGAGCGCCGCTCGAACATCGGGGTGTTCACCAACATCGGCACGAGGACCCTCCCGGACAAGACGCTCCCGCAGATAAAGTCAGCAGTGACTCCGACGCCGAACCAGGAGCGCCGCTCCGACATCGGGCTGCTCACGAACATCGGCGCGAAGAATGGGTCACGAAGCTCTCCCGCAAAATCGCGTCGTCGGCGAAGGGCCGGGCGGTGCTCGCGGCGCAGGCTTTGGTAGAGGCGGGGATGGATCCGCCGCCTCCGCCGTCGCCGAACTTGGTGTGTGGGCCGCGGACACCTCCGCGACGGAGGCGCAGCCCTGTCATGGGAATGTGGGGGCAGGCCTGACGTTGGCGACCGGGCACTCTCGCGAAAGCGACGGCGGAGGAGTCTGAGAACCTCAAGGTGAGCGGGAGGCCGAACCTGGGTTCCAGCTTCTGGAATAATGAAAACATTGGACTGCGGATCGGTCTGGCGGCTATTTGTTCGCCGTCGCCACCCGGTCGCCTCCCGTCGTCTGGGCCTGCGGGTCGGTCTGGCAGATCTGTTGTCGCCGTCGCCGCCCCGTCGCCGCCCGTTGTCTGGGCCTGCGGGTCGGTTGGGCGGCTATGTTGTCGCCGTGGCGGCCCCGTCGCCGTCTCGTCGCCGCCCCCTTGTCTGTGCCTGCATTGATTGGTTCGCATTTCTTTGCATTGCTAAGCCATGCTTTGCATTGCCTGGCATTGCCCTGAGATGCCTTGCCTTGTTTTCACCATGTAGATTGCACCACCTAGATTGCACAGCATTGGTTGCACCACCTGACAGCACCGCGTAAATTGTCAGGCATCTCCATTTGGGGTCCACGCTGGCTAAGATATGGATTTTGGAAAGGGGGGACAGCATGTACAAGGATGTGCGCGCGAACGCGTCAATAGTAAGCAACTGTGCTACGATTCGACTGTCTACGTCCAGACATATTGGGCGCAAAATGGGCGACACACGGCTGGACAGCCTGACCTAAGACCAAAAAACCTCTGGCTTGCAGAATACGGGTGCGATCTGTGAGCATCAAAACGAAGATCCTGAAGCAATCCCAGAATACTCGCAAACCAGTATGGGATCATCGAGTGGTGCCGCGTCTACTTCCCAGAGCTCGACGTTGTAATCGACAGTTCACGCTGCTCATCGAACTCCAGCGGCTGAAAGGAAACAACTCTCCCTCCATCCCTCCTGCTTGTTCCTGCTCGTCATCCTCTTACCGCTCCCTCGTTCCCCGCGAGGGAGAGGGGCAATGTGGGTGGGGTCCAAGTTGGGCCGTGATCGTGACGAAGGTCTCTGAATAGTAGGCTCGCAACACAAAAAAAATTAAGGATGGTCATGCGAGATAAACACTACAACAAATACCGAAGGCCTACAACTGGG